TAAAAGGTTAAAGTACCATTTTGGTCCCTCAACTTTTCACTTTGACACCAAAATTGTTTCTCAATTTTAAAAAGTACTAAAATTATCTTTAAACTTTCATTTTTTGTAACAAAACGGTCCTTTCGTTAGTTAAATGACAGGTGTCACGTTAACTTGCCAGCAAATCAATTCTTTTTTTACTTAACTAATGACATGGGACAAAAAAAAGCATAGTTGATCTATGAGTTGGGGCAAAAGGTACCATTTTGCCCCTAAACTTTTCGACTTTTAGGGTTTTTACCCTCCATATTATAATACATGGATTTTTACCCTCAACGTTTTCGAGTTGAGGAAATGAGGCAAAATTTAACGCCGGAACGTCACGTGTAGCACGTGCACCATTGGCCTCCGTCAAGTATGCGCATGTCAACGCCAAATCAGAATTTTTTGACAACCTAGCATGCCAACTTGGAACCCCACGAGTGGGAAGTCTACTTGCTGCCAATTTTTTTATGGGCCCCACTGCTAATTAAAGGTTTTAAAAAAAAAGTTAAATCCTCAATTCAGTCCCTTAACTTTCATTTTTAAACTAAATTTACTTCGAACTTCAAAATATTATGACTTGGCACCAAAAATATAATTTAATAAATAAAAATTTCTTTTTTTTTTCTTTTTTCTTTCCTTTCCTTTTTTTTTCTCCTTCTCTTTCCTTTTCTCCTTCCCCTCCCTACTGGGTTCGAAGGAACCCAGGGCCTGGGTTCGAGGAACCCGCACCTGGGTTTCATCGAACCCAGGCGTGCTGGTTTTGAGTTATATCCTCTGACCATGCAGGCTAATGAAACATTAGCTATGCCATTTTGCTTGGCATCTAAAGTTATATCTACAAGAACATGAAATTTTGAGCTTGAAGACTCATCCAAGCAACCACCTTCATTTCGAGATAAGCTTAGTAAGGTTAAATCAATGGTGTCTGCTTTCAGTTCCTTCACACCATTACTGAGGGGAGACACAGGTCTTGAACTCTTAACACTACCATTTTCTTTTGGAGTTCCCGATGTAAGTAGTAGGTGATTTACATCTGTTTTTTTGCTTTTATCATCTTTGTTCTGTGATTTAGAGGAGTAAGCACTGATTCGCCCATCTGTAGGACCTAGCTGTCTACTCAATTCCCCCTTAGAACTGCCCAAAGATCCTTCAACTGCAAAATTAAAAGAACCAGATTGCAGCCCTTTCTTTTGACCTAGCTTTTGCAGCAATGATCTTGTTTCATCCTCTGTAAATGACCCAAATAAAAATATCTGCTACAGCAAGACAACAAACAAAAGATCAAATTGATAAAACAACAAATTTTTATGCCCATGACTTCAAACTCATAGTGTAGTGTTGGATTATTCCCTCATGATCTCAAAGACATTTTTTCAAGCTGGTTCAACAACAAAATTTGCAATAAATTTCAAAAAAAAAAAAAATAAAATCTCGAAACCACTCAAAACAACGCTAAAGTTTACATCGATTAGAGGCGGAGAGAGAGATAAGAGAGTACAGAGCACGCACGCCTGGGTTCCTTTGAACCCAGGCGTGCTGGGTTCGAGGAACCCGTGCCTGGGTTCCATCGAACCCAGGCGTGCTGGGTTCAAGGAATTCGCGCCTGGGTTCCATCGAACCCAGGCGTGCTGGGTTCGGCGCCTTGTGAACCCACACTGGGT